GTCAAACCTTCAAACACCCCCATACACAGCACAAATGGCTTGAAGCAAAGGGAAATTTCGCTTGGTTTGTCAAACCGCTTGTGTGGTGTATTTCGCTCTTAAGTTCTGACTAAATCCTGTAAACCGGACTGCTATTGGAACAGACTAATGGTCTCATTTTCGATAACTCTTGTTATGTTTAATTTTTGGACTTTTTTAATCAAAGCTACGACCATCGATAGTTCTCCAGCTCTAGCGTCGAGCGCCAAACAACTGTCAAAACACCTCATGCCCGTACAATTTCTATGGAGCATCCCACAATAACGCGGCGCTAGCGGCGGGCAAATGGAATTTTCCTTTTTGGCAGGGCGTTACGTGTTGAAGTTGGATGCAGAAGATGGAAAGAAAGAGAAAGGACAAACAAGTGAAGGGGAAACGAGAATAAAAATGAGAGGAAATGAGAAAACGGCAAAAATTACGCAGCGTTGATTTGGGGATAACGCGCTGACATTCGTTGGCAATGGAAAACGTAACGCTTTGCGCTCCAATTTAGGGACGCCAGTTAAGAGATGGTTATAATAGGCCTAACGGCACGGAATCGTGGCGCAACGAAACAGGAAAAATTGTAAGCCAATTAATATGGTACGTGCCGTTACGACAATGACATTTTCCGCAGATGTCAAACTTGGAGTTTGTTTACGAAAACTTATTCGCATAATACTAAGTTTATATTTATAAAAATGTGTGTTGAAGAATATCGTAACCTGAAATGCAAAAAGTCGTAACTTATAAAAAATTCAAAAATTACTTTTTCGCTCGAATTAAAACTGCCCACATCGTTTTATGAAAAAAAGTCACGATTTTTTCCATTTCAGTGACATTGGCCCGTAGTCATAGTCAAAATAAAGTCGACTTTAAAGTTAGTTGCAGCTTTTTTGACAGATATCCCATTGAAAATTATGTCAAAAAGCTGCAACTAACTTTAAAGTCGACTTTATTTTGACTATGACTACGGGCCAATGTTTTTACGTTGTTTTGCATTTCAGGTGACGATATGTTTTAATGTCTTCCATGTTTGTAAATATTTGCGCTTACCGTAAGAAGTCGGAAATATCTGAAATCAACAGATGCTTACGATTCGCGACGCTTTGTTACGATTCGCTCCATGGTGTAATGAACTGTATTCTATCGTTCTTGAATTGCATACACACAAATCGCGGTGTGTAATTGAAACGAGCAATACCTAAAGGGAATGTGAAAAATCTCGTCGACAAAAGTTTCGGTGTATAAACACAGTCTAATAGGCTGTTTTTGCTTACGCGTAAAAGCACATTTAGCGCATTTAGCTCTAAATGCTACTCTAAATGTACATTTATCCATACAAAATTCGTCACCTAAATGCAACTAAATGCAACTCCATTTTTGCATTAAGAATCTAAATGCTAAAAGCAACCCTGTGATCTTCCAAAATTTCCACGATTCGAACATGGTTTAAAGAGAAAAAGTGGCAACATTGCTTTTTCGAGTATACAGTTGCTAGCTGCGTTTCAGTGATCGCCGATCGAGATTTCTTTTATTTTGCATTACATATTTGGATAAAGAAAAGTTAAGCAAATTCAACATCGATTTGATACTGATAGAAATCTGGATCAATTTGTGATCAACTCTGTTTGGTTTGTTTCCTAATTAAGTGAGGAAATTTTAATTGAATGCACCAACAAATAAATATATACACAAACAAATGTTCGTTTATGGTTAAAACAATTCAAGTTTTTGTATTGAATTTTTGGTTTAAAATTTATTTTTTCCTTTTCAGTAGGGTTTTTGCACATTATCTTCTGCGTGAGAATTGATCGTAATATATACGCATCTAAATAAGAGACTGGAACACGGCTGTTTGTCAAAAGCATACGATTTCGAACTCGCGTAAATGTACATTTGCTAAATGCTATAGCATGAACGCTCTTCGAAAACATATGTTCGAAAGTGCTAAATGTTGCATTTTAAATGCAGCAAAAACGCTGCATAAAGGAATTTGACGATTCAGACTGGATGGGTTATCGATAAACGTTCATCACTAATTTAAATAAAACGATTCGGAGTGGATGCGTTGGTTCGGCTGTGGCATTTTATTATAAAATTAAAGGAAGTTTGGTGAGTTTTTAACCCTCTAACTTATTTTTATTTAACGCTATTATATTTAAAATATTGTGTTTGGGTCTGTATCGAGTGAATGTGTAGAACATAAGTTGTAGGATATAAAAATGACTTGTGTTCAGAACTCTGTCTAAAACACTTCACAAACCCGTTTAGAAAAAGAAATCTGAAGTAAGAATTTTTCTTTTTCGTTTAATATACCATTCGTAATTCATGATTTTATTATTGGATCATGATATATATAGACGATTTTTTATTCAAATTCCCCGAAGCGGGGCTTCGCATGACTGTCGAACATTGGTAAGTTTTCATAAAATAAGTTGGCAGCACTGTTTCGTATTTACATTCGAAAAATCGACGACGTTATCGCCGAAGTTTGATTTGTTGTTCGACGTGGCATGACGTTTCTGATATATAATTGTCAAATTTGCTTGGAAGTGAAAGCTGTGGTCGGTTCCGCAATACTAAAAAATAAGTAATATTAATTATTAACAAATCGCTATAAAAAGACTAGTTAAGATGTCTCATAATATACTTGCCGTATTTGTCGTGTGCCTTTTCTCTGGAGCAGCTCTTGCCACCACTTGCACCAGCCCTAAAGTTAGTGTTACATCCTTTAGCACTCAGGATGCCACAATTCTTACACAAGTGGCTCATATAGGAGAGTTCTCATTGAAATGTGGAAACAATGTGCCACCAAATCTATTCGCTGAATTCGCCTGTGGAAAAATTGTACCCGTTGCAAAGCTTGGCGATGATAAATACCAAGTAAGTTGGCTAATACACATAGAATATAGAGATGTGAAATAACCACCATGTGGCATTCTTCCTATGTTTCTCAGGTAAGCTGGACACAAGAAATAAAGAAGAGCGGCGGAGGCAATGTTGTAGTGCGTTTGTTCGATGAGGAAGGTTATGCTAATGTACGGAAGGCGCAGCGTGATGGCGATAAGGTTGCCAATGTGAAATCACTGGTTGATATCACGGTAGCTACCAAGGGAGCCTACAAAGGTCCTTGGGTAAAAGCTGAGTTGGTAGCTGCGTTGGCCGTCGGTGGTATTGCTTACTTTGCTTTCACTGCCAAGAGTAAAGTCCAAGGCTAGACAAAGCGACTTGGTTATCAATCTCACATTGTGAGATTTGTAAGTCTTTGAATGAAATTCATTCAACCTTTTTGAAATCAAGAGATTAGATTTAATGTGTAATTTTAATATCAGCGTCTAAATCTCTTTATTTACTGAAATGATTAAAAGCTCTGCTGTCACCAATTTGACCGAAAATGAAATAAATTTTTTCATAAATTAAAAAAATACTGATTGCAAACTTCTTTGCTAGTAAATAATACATTTTATAATTTCTTCACAAATATCTGCAGTACGGTGAACAAAGCATTACTTCGTACCCGTGACAATTGTGTCACATTAGTAGAACATCTCAGAATTGTTCGTGTCCGAACGCTGTACCTTCAGCAGATTACCAACAACTTCTTGCAGTGTATTTTATGTTTTGCAACATAAACATTGTCGAGGAAAGTATGTATAAAAAGTATTTTGCAACTATGTATTTCTTTCCAAATAAAATATTTTTTATTGATTCATTTCAAGTAAAGTATATAGACATTTAAATATTACTTCTTTATTTCATCTTTTAAACATCTACTTTTATAAAGAAATCATTTATATTGTTTAAAAATTACCTTAAAATTTATTCTGAGTATCTTTCATTAAATATTTACATTTTACTACATTATTTTTTGAGATGCTAATTTGTACCCAACTAATTACCATTCATGGTACCATCTTCATCGGATGAAATATCAATCATGCTCTCAACACGCGATGGCGACATTACATAAACAAAGTGTTCTGTTGGTCCTCCATCGGTGACCGGGTTACTCGGTATAATGGTAGCACCATCTGGTGGGGAGGGCGAAGAATCTATGCTGCAAAATTTACCGGCGTGCGAATCATCATTTGATGGCATACCCCCGCATTCGTTTACATTTTCCAGTTCCAACTCTATGTCGCTGACTATACGCATGCATCTCATTTTTGCGAGCGACTGGAATTTGGTTGGCATGGCGCGCACCATGCGTGCAAGGCTAAGGAAAAATAACGTGTTGGCATCCAAGTCGCGATTTGCCTGCAATATAGCTGAGATATCAACTTCTGCACGGTCACTCGTTTTACGTGTCTTTGCTGGTGGCGGCTGGCTGCCGTTATTATTATTGCTGTTATTAACGGTACTGTTGTTATTCGTAGAGGGCTGCATTGCGCTGAAACTCAAATTAATGGCTGCCGTTTGTGGGGATGGCTGTACACGACGTATCTTGGATATGAGCGGCGGATTGACACGTGTTGAACTGGCCGTGGTCGTTGCAGGTGATGTTATGTTATGGAATAGACCAATTGTGGGAGCACTTAGCTCCTTCTTAAATGTGTCTGCCGAAGCAAATAACTGTGGCTCGATAATGAGGCAACCGACGCTACTGGCCGCGCTGCTCGTCGGCATCAACGCCGTGGGTTTTGGTACATTTGCCAATGGCGGCAACGGAAATATTTGTGCCGGCGGCATATTTGTGGGACCCATAGTCGAAATGGGACCCAAAAGTGGTTTGCTCAGAGGTTGTACCGGCGGCAATTGTACAGTTGGTAGGGATGGTACCGGCAATACAAGTGCGCCAGCTGCGGTTGCATTAACCGCCGGTGCACCAATACAATTAGTTAGAGCAGCAACGGAAGCAGCAGTGACAGCAATGCTATTGCTGGGAGCAATACAATTAATAGCTGCCGAATTGTTGGGCGAGAAAGCCGCAGATGCTGCAGGTACTGAAACAACAGCAGCTGAAGCTTGAAAATGTGCGGGTGTTGGATTGGGATTGGGAGTCGATGGCACGGCAGTTACTGTGGTATTTGCGATTGTACTACATACACTTGCCGGTGGAATGGTGACCATAGTAGCCGCTGCCGGTGCTGGTGCTGGCGTTGGTGGGGCTGTTGTGCTGGCTGGCATTGTAGATGCGGCATTAAATTTTAAATCGTCCTCCGAAGAAGAATTAGTAGCAGCTTTGGTTAGTACTTGAAAACCGAAATCACACTCTGTATCCTCGGTATCTTCATTGGCTTTGTGACTATTGCTGCTATTCGAGTTGCCGTTCGAATGTCTGTAAGTATGGACACGTGCCAAAACTCTAAATTGTTGTTAATGCATTGAGGTGAGAGAATTTTAAAGTACGCATACCTGCCGGGTCCCTGATAAGGTTTTAGAAAGTCCATATGATCGGCATGAGCCCAATACTGATATTTCTTCGATGTTTTGGTGCCGACGCGAAAAGAGCGCAAATATTTGGTATAGCTGTCGCGTAGATTCTTCCATTTTCGTTTGGACGCATCTGTGGGAGGCAAAATATAAGAAAAGTATGAATTTAATGACCAGTGGAGTATTTAAGATTCTTAAAAGTCTGTACGACTGCACTCTCCGCTTAAAAATGTATATATGTATGTACATATCGTTAGCTTAATATATAAAGGCCTTATCTCACATCGTCGCTGAAATAGAAAAATCCGCAACTAAGTAAAAATCCAAAATTCCCGTTTTGATTGACCATGATGTATTTCATAGAATTGTGTGTCCCCAAATCATTTTAATCAATAACAAAATTTTATTCGGTTACGTCTTCTTTGCATTTCTGCAACTATATGAGTTAGGGCCTTACTATGTTAAGGCCCTGTATGTTTGCATAGGTATAATTATGGTGGTATATGTATTTGATATGAATACACGTATGTAGGTAATAAGATATATATATATTTATATATATGTATATAGGTATATATGTATGTATATTAGGGCGGGTCAATTTGTATGGATAGATTTTTTTCGACATTGTTCCTAGCATATTCGGATTCTTCATAAAATTATAAGAAAAAAATTCCTCCAGACCATAGCTCTAAAGTCAATTTCGAGCCTGCGCATTTTTAAAAGAAGATATCTTATATATAAAATTGGTTTGCTGTCCGTTAGCCTCGCTAAGACTTGAAAACAGCTTGACCGATTTGAATATTTTTATTTTTTTGGTTTGTTTTTTATAATATCCGGATTGTTAAAACCAGAAAAAATAGAGAGTTGCCACCTGTTTAAAAATCCCAATATAAGTAAATTAATTACATAAATTAGATATTGCAATATGGGTGTCAAAAGAAAGAGGTTATGAAGGCTTACAGGCAAAAATATTTTGCCACCTGTTTCAAAATTTAGTTAAATAAAATTGATAAGATAAATTAAATATTGCAATATGGGTATCAAATTAAAAGGGTTTAAGAAGGCTTACTACTGAAAATATTTTTGAGTCGAG